GCAGCTCTGTGGTACCCCTTTTGTCCTCCACCCTAAACCCTAAACCCTAAACCCTAAACCCTAAACCCTAAACCCTAAACCCTAAACCCTAAACCCTAAACCCTAAACCCTAAACCCTAAACCCTAAACCCTAAACCCTAAACCCTAAACCCTAACCCCCCCCCCCCCCCCCCCCCCCCCTTTTTGGTGTTTAGGTGCCCTATAAATTGACCCTAAACCCTCTATAGGTCCTGGAGTTGTTCGTCCAGCTGTGCGGGGCTTTGAGGTCCCCGAAGAAAGTACCTAACCCACAATAGCGTGCCCTTGGTCTAACATGTTGGGGTTTAGGGTTTAGGGTTTAGGGCTTCCTGGGTGCACCAAGGAGTGGCGCTGCTGGTACGTGTACCCGTCCTTGCTGCACGAGGTCCAAGTCGAGCCTTTGCCTTGACCCACGCTCCCCTTTTGAGAAGCCATAAAGACACATGGGGTTTAGGGTTTAGGGTTTAGGGTTTTCGCAGATTGTCAGTAAGTTCGGATCCGGCTGAGCCTGGAGTCAAAAACGGCTTTAGGGTTTAGGGTTTATAAGGGTTTATATGGGTTGAGGGTTTATAGGGCTTAGGGTTTATACATGGGGTTTAGGGTTTTGTTGTGATATTCCTTAAAGGGGCCTCTCATGGAGCAAAACGTAATTCCTATCGGAACTAGGTGGGTAGACCTCAGAGACTCCAAGCCTCAAGTCTTGGTTCGCTGAGCGAAGTGTCGGAAGTTGCTGTGCCTCGTACGGACACGTGTCACACGTGTTGGTGCCTTGATTTCGCCCGGGCATACCCCGCGAATCTTCCACCGGGAGGGGGTTGGGGTTTTGGGTTGAGGGTTTAGGGCTTAGGGTTTAGGGTTTAGGGTTACAGCTCTTTACATGTTATACCTGAGCACTGCCCAGGCCTTGGAAGAATTGGCATGTGCGACTCAATGGGTGAGCTTTTTGTTGCCTTTGCTCGTTGAATGGGCCCATTGAATCGCGCGGCCTTTGCCAGGAATCCGGTTGAAACAAGGTGCTCCAAACCCTGAACCTAAACCCTAAACCCATCCATCATTCATACCCTATAGCTGCCCAAAGACATGTCACATCTACTGCTGCCACAAAAGCGATGCTGTCCCAAGTGTTCAGGAAAAGTCGCGGGATGAGCTCTACAGCATCTGCCCTGAGCTTGACAAAGAGAATGCGTACGAGGCGTGAGGGGTAATCACCTCCTGTGTTTTTAGGGGATTCCATCTATTTGGGGTAGTAACGGGGCTTAGGGGTTTTTGGTTTGGGATCTTGGAAAGTGCCCATGCACACGCGGGAAGGAGGGAATGTGTGCGCGCAGGCATTGGTGAGCTTGTGTACACCCTAAACTTTCAACTTTCAACCCTAAACCCTAAGCCTAAGCCCTAAGCTAAGCCGTAAGCCCTAGCCCTAAACCCTAAACCCCTCGCATGTTTTTTTTTCGTAGAGCGCGGGTTTATAGGGTCCATGTCGTGCGGCGTTGAGGGTTCTCGGCGGTCGCTCAGGAGCACCAGCCTTAAGGCCCCCAAAACCCATGTGGAGCTTGGTGAGCCATTCTGACTACAGTCAGTGCAGCAGGTATGGTACCTGTACAGCAAAGGGTCGTATATATATATATATGTATATATGTATATACAATTTTTTGGAAAACCTCTAATTCTATAGCTACAACCCTAGAATTATCAACAACATGTTTCCTCAGTCTATAGGGTCTGTGGTGTGTGAGGCGATCATGCGGCTCTTGGAATCCCGCGGCCCGGCTACACTCTGCTCATAAACCCACAGTGGGCCCCTTCTTCCTACTGTTCAGGGTTTAGGGTTGTGTTTTGAGGGTTTAGCATGGTTTAGCTATGTTTTGAAGGGTGGTTTCGGATGTGGGAATGTCGGGTTCTGCCTCGGAGGAGGCAGAGCTGGGCATGTGAGGGGGGTGCTAGCGTAGAATTCGTGGGCATTGCATGCTTGAACTATTGGGCAAGCCGCCAGTGGCAAACCCAGACCAGATCCGGCCCCTAAACCCCCTAAACCCTAAACCCTAAACCCTCAACCCTAAACCCTAAACCCTAAACCCTAAACCCACACCCTTCTCGGTGTGATGGGAACAACACAGAGGCGCACCGTGCAAATCCCAAGGTTGCTAGGCAGCCAAAATGAAGATTAGTGGGTTTAGGGTTTTCTGGGTTTAGGGGTTTAGGGGATTAGGATTAGGGTTTAAGGCTAGCTCCAGTCCTACACAGTATAAGCCTTTATATATATATATATATATATAAATGTATAGACCTACACAGTAATAAGCGTATTATGCGCACACAAAGTAGAAGCCTTCATAGCACCGGCATATGCGGGTTTACGAAACTAAGGGGCCCCCCAAAAATAGAGCCCCAACTAGTAGTATCCCGTTGTAACAAGGACCCCAATAAGGTACCCCTAATCTCGGAAACCCCCCCATATAAGTAAAGTAGTATATACTAACCATCGTTAAGGGAATTCTAACCTAAGTTAGGATCCTTCTTGCCCAATTTAGGGGTACTTAACGACTCTACTTATAACAGGGCGGGGGTGGGGGGGGCGAGGGGCCTCCTTCTACATGTAACCTCCTGCTGGTTCCTAGTAGGGAATGAGGGACTGAACCTTTCAAGGGATTACATAGGGCCCTAATTCCCGCCTTCCCTAGTAAGAACCAGCCAGATAAAGATGTTTAGGGTTTAGGGTTTCGGGTTTAGGGTTTAGGGTTTCGGGTTCAGGGTTTAGGGTTTAGATGCTCAGAGGAATGCGGCGGTCTTGGACCATGACCCGCTACTTCGGACCCGCGAACTTCGAGGAAGTGGCGCCTTGGCGGGCCGGCTTCGCCCCCCAACGAACCGTGCAGTGCTTATCCTTGCGAAGCCTCGGTTGAGGGTTTAGGGTTTAGGGTTTAATTAGGGTTTAGGGTTTAGGGTTTAGGGTTGGGGGTTTAGGGTTTCTCCTCAGCACTGGCTAGTCCCCAGCCCAGTTGCAAAAACGGGCTTGGGGTTTCGGGTTTAGGTCCAGGTTGAGGGCTGAGGGGTTACGACTTAGAGTTGTCCTGGCAGAAAAACAGGGTTAGGGTTTAGGGTTTAACAGGGCTTAGGGCCAGTGACTCCCGCAGAGGCCCTTCCTAAACTCCAGGGCAGCACTGAGATGGATTCCAACCCGAACGCTCAACGCTAATTCCTTCCTAATATTAAAAACACCCCGAATTCGAAATATACTAACTATAGGTAGGGGACTTCTAACCTAAGATAGGATCCTTATAACCCAGTTTAGGGTGGAGGTTTCTAGGGGGGGGGCTTTCATATTCGGGGGAAGGGATTGATTCATGAGGCTCAGATATCTCGACGTGTGTATTCCTAGGGCGCAAGCAGAAGTCCGGACCTAAACCCCAAACCCCAAACCCTAAACCCTAAACCCTAAGCCCTAAACCCTAAGCCCTGAACCCTAAGCCCTAAACCCTAAGCCCTAAACCTAAACCCTAAACCTAAACCCTAAACCCTAAGCCCTGAACCCTGAACCCTAAACCCTAAACCCTAAACCCTAAACCCTAAACCCTAAACCCTAAACCCGCATTGCCGTGGCTAGTCGGGTGGCAAAAAACCCTAAACCCTAAACCCTAAACCCTAAACCCTAAACCCCAACCCGAGGTGAGCCAGATTCGGTCACAGAGCTCCAAGGAGGCCACGCCATCTGAGGAGGAGGGCCAGGATCCTGAGTGATGCTGGGCGCAGGGGGGCCTTAGGGTTTGGGGGTTTAGGGTTTAGGGTTTAGGGGTTTAGGGTTTAGGGTTTAGGGTTTAGGGTTTGGGTTTAGGGCTTAGGGCTGAGGGTTTGGGATGAATTTGAGGGTTTCCGAAATTAAAATTACCTTCTTGGAGTCCTCATTATCAGAGAATCCTGCTGTTTGGGGTCAAAATTTGGGGTCCTCTACTTTCGCAAACCCCCATGTTTCCAAAGGTGCGAAGCGCTGGAGATGGCAGGGCCCTAATCAGGGGCCCTGATGCTTATCTACTTAGCTTGGGCTCTTGAGGGGACACGGTGTCAGATGAATGCCCGCAGTGCAGACACACGCAAGTTTACATCCTTCCTTCCCTAGGCCCAACACGATGTTTGCTCACACTTTCCCCCTTCAGCAGCCCGATGCAAATGCGGTAGCTTCCCAGCATTGGGGCCACATCCATGCGATGCGTCCCTTGGCATCTGTAGGCGGCATGCTAGAGAACATCAGGGGACCCTGATGCTGAGAAGACGCCACATGTTAACGTCAGGCCTGGCAATGTGACAGGCTGAGCTTGGGTGTCAGAAGGAGCCCTAAACCCCAAACCCTAAGCCCTAAACCCTAAACCCTAAACCCGAACCCTATTATCTGCTCTGCAGTGATAAACACCCCTCTGTCTGCTTCCCGGTCAGACGCGCCTTGCGCACTGGGTTGTCGGCCCTGACTCGCGATGCAGCGCGCGGTGAAGGATGTAGAAAACCCCGAGGATCCATGTACCTAAATGGTATACACTTGGGCCCTAAAGCTACTACATAGGAACCCCTTTAAGGCCCAAGTTTATACTAGGTACATGGATCCTTAGGGAAAATTCTGCTTCTCAGCAAGTCTCTACTATCCTCTCAGCTTCTACATGATCGGGGTCGGATGGCACTTTATCACTCCCCCCCTCCCCCCCAACCAAGTTCTCGATTCATGACCCTGAAGTCGTGGACTTCTTAGGTTCTACGTCCATGTGATGGGGAGGGCTGGCTACCGCAACTACGATCATCTTAAAAGAAGTATGCAGATGTTTCTCTCATCTACCACGTTCTGTAGCAAAGCTGTCTGTCTGCCTCTGCGCCTAGCTGTCGCCCTAAACCCTAAACCCTAAACCCTGAACCCTGAACCCTGAACCCTGAACCCTAAACCCTAAACCCTAAAACCCTAAACCCTGAACCCTTATGGGGAACCGTGTGCCTGACGAGCAGAGGCGATGAACGCCCACTTCATGGGATGCGACGCCTTCCAGGACGGAGACCTGCTGGTGACCTTCCCAGGATGCAAGGAGCCTGGGTTTAGGGTTTAGGGTTTAGGGTTTAGGGTTTAGGGCCCCCCTAAAATCCTGAGCCGAGTTCCCTAGACCATCCCAAGCCCTTCTGTAGATACCTTCTTCAGGATCTTTGGGTGGTCTCAGCGGGTTCCCCGATTGAGAACACCTCCATGTAAATGGATAGAGCAGTACGCTTAAAACAAGTCTGGGTCATTGGCACTCCTGGGGAACAAAATGAATGGGAATTATAGTAGTACAGGGTATATGACCCCAATTTTAGGGTTCATTTCGTCCCAAGGATTTGCATGGTTTCAGTTTGGCTCGCTACAGGCAGAGAGCAGGGTGATCGAATCACCTCTCAAACCCCAAAATCCGTAGGGAAGCTCTGCAGCGTACGGGTTTAGGGTTTGGGGTTTAGGGTACCCCCCAGGGCCGTAGAAGCCCCCACATCCTGAACGAAGCCGAGTTGTCCCCCAACGATCGTATCTTGGCTTCGGGTACGGGGTTTCTGCGACCCTGAACCATCCTGAACCCTAAACTTTAAACCCTAAGCTCTAAACCCTAAACTCTAAACCTGGGCCCTAAACTCAGGGGTTGAAGCCCTTTCGGGGTTTAGGGCTTAGGGTAAACCCTAAACCCCAAGCCCTACTCCGTTAACCCTCGGTGCCTGTTGTGCAAATTATGTGGCGTGAGGACCCCGCTGCCTGCAACCCCATCTTCGAGCATCTGACTGTGCGTTTGGCAGGGCTTGGGGTTTAGGGTTTAGGGTTTAGGGTTTAGGGTTTAGGGTTTAGGGTTTAGGGTTTAGGGTATTTCTGGGTTTAGGGTTTGTAGTGCTTGTGGGGTTTGTAGGGCTTAGGTTTTATAGAGTTTATCGGGTTTATAGGGTTTGCAGGGCTTATACTGTTGATAGGGTTGATGGGGTGTATAGGGTTTACGGGGTCTATAGGGTTTACAGGGTTTAGGGTACCACCTTGGTAGTCTAGGAGCCAACGGCAGGGTGCAGAAGTATCTGACGCATTTGCTGCCACAGTTCGGTGTACGCAGAGATCTATCGAGGCTGCGGCGACTAGTGACATCAAGCGACCCTAACCCTTTACCCTAAACCCTAAACCCTAATCCCTAAACCCTAAAAGCAACTTCACACTCCCTAGGAATTCATGCCCGAAATCAATACTCATTTTGACAGCATCCCAGTCTGGCGATGGCCTACTCCAACGGCTCCTTTTCCCTGGGGACGGAGGAAGTGCCACCCGACTTTACCATCAGTGTGGCGGTTTGTTCTCAAATGCTGACGACGGCTGAGAGAACTTTTCGGGAAAGGGTTTAGGGTTTAGGGTTTAGGGTTTAGGGCTTAGGGCTTAGGGCTTAGGGCTTAGGGCTTAGGGCTTAGGGCTTAGGGCTTAGGGCTTAGGGTTTAGGGTTTAGCACTGCGGCAAGCAGGGTCTGATGCAAGGCACTTTTGCTTTCTACATGCGGCTGAAGAAAGGAGGTGTTGCCTGCCACATCATGTCTCAAGGCCCAAAACAGCCAGGAACCTACATCCCCCTCGGGAAATTATTTTCTTATTTTTTGTTTATATAAAGCCCAAGAGGATGTTAAACCTATTATTGTTTGTTAAGGTTCTAGGGGGGAGTGTAGGAACGCAGGGTTTAGGGTTTAGGGTTTAGGGTTAGACTCTGAAGAAGTGCCATTCGTGGTACAACGCTTGCTGCTCAGGTGCGGCAAACTGAATGTGCTTCAGTAAGGCATCGTCAGCATCACCCTTCGCAATTTTTTCCGATACAAGGCCATACCATAATGGGGGCCGGAATAATTTCTAATAGTATTCCCTTATGGTCCCTTTATCAATATACTACAATACTTCCTCCCCCCCCAAAAAAAAAAACAAACTGTTCTAATGATTAAGGCCCCCTATATTAATTACCTTCTTCAATGCATCCTCTTCTCAAGCCTTCGTCCATGCCATGGCTCGCGCTGCCATTCCTGCCTTGAGCCGTCGGATTGAAGACTTTGCCCGGAGAAGCTGCAGAGCCTTTCCGTTGGAGGAGTCCAGTGGTACCTTTTACTTTTAGGGTTTAGGGTTTAGGGTTTCCCTTATAAAATAGCCAACCCCAAAAAAGGGTGCCCTTATCATAATCTGAATCTGGTTACCTGAGCTACCAAGAGGAGCTGTATCTCCTGGGTCGCGGCACTGGGCAGGATCGCTTGCATCTTGCTCGGCTCATCCATCAGGAGGTGGCCATTCGGAATGCGCAGTTGTGCAAGGAGCTCTTGCTCCTGCCTTTTGGCCTTGCGCAGACAGAAGGGGTTGGCCGCGTCGTAAGCTGCTTCAGCAGCTATGTAGACTGGCTGTCGGCCTTTCCTGTGCCAAAGGAATCGAGCCATGATGAGGAGTTCACAAAGTTGCTCGAGCAAATTCTTCAGGATAGTGCAGACGTGACCCGATCCCTTGGGACCGCTGTTGCGGAAGTAAAAGCTGCGCTTGGCGACTCATATGAAGAAGTCCGCCCTGAGGTAGACCTCATCCTGGATCGGTTCTTTATCAAGCGCATCGGACTTCGCTTCCTGATACAGCATTATATTGAAGCTGCCGAGGTACTGCCGGATTCCTCTGGCATCATCCGAAGTGACGTAGGGGTTGGAGAGATTCTGCGCTGTGCCGCAGCCGAAGCGCGCAGAGCCGTAGAGGAGGAGCTGGGCATCGCACCGGATGTGGAGGTCTTGGGTGATGGGGCTGAAATCCCAATGACACACACGACGCATGCAAGCACCTACGCAACGGGACGGAGTCTTGCAAGCAGCCCCAACTTACTGCACAACCGTGACTTTACGCACGTGCCGAGCCATGTGCATTTCATTTGCTTCGAGCTGTTGCGTAATGCATGCTCCGCAGTCGCAGCAAAGTGGCGGAGAAAGCAGCTGCAGCAGCAGCAACAGCTTCTGTTGTCAGTTGCAGCTGATGCTTTCAAGGGATTCGGTGATCCGTCTGCTCAGTCCGTACCTTTGGGCCGATCTGCTGCTTAGTAGCTGAACGAGTATACACTTTACACCTATTTGGGAATGCCATAAGTCCTCTATATAACTGAAAGTGTACACTCTTTTGAGCCTTATGAACCCAAACCCCAAACCCCAAGCCCCAAACCCCAAACCCCAAACCCTAAACCCGAATATGAACTCAGCAACTGAGGCAGTGGCAACTCTGCCCCTAGTAGGACCACCCTCGATGGCGAGAGCAAAGCATGCCAAGCATGCGAAGCATCTTACTTAGGGTTTAGGGTTTAGGGTTTAGGGTTTAGGGTTTAGGGTTTAGGGTTTAGGGTTTAGGGTTTAGGGTTTCCTTATTTAGTTGGAAGAATAAAGTGCAACCCTTTCCTCTAGGGTATTGGCGACGTAAGGCATGGGGACGCGCCGGCACCTGTCCGAGCAATCTTCGCCTACGGGACGGATGAGGTGTCCATCAAAGTCTCCGATGAGGGCGGCGGAATTCCTAGGAGTGAGGTGCAGACAGCCTGGAGCTACTACACCTCCGGGACTCAATCTCGTGCACCACGCACCAGCACTGACCTGTGTGATTTGGCCGGGCCACGGGAGTCGCTGGGCATCGGTTTACCGCTTGCGCGACTCCACGCGCGATACTACGGCGGTGATGTGGTGCTGAAGTCAATGGAAGGCTTTGGAACTGATGTCTACGTCTTCTTAAACAGGTTGGGGCACCTATGTGAGAACTTACCACAGGGTGTGCGTGTAAGCCCAGCCCAGAAAGACTCGTCCGTCGGCAAGGAAGCTTCCATTCGACTGTTAGAAGCCCTGGGTGACATGAGTGAGGCAGACGTTGCCTTTCTGACCCAGCGCTTGAACGAACGCCGATGGAGCTTGAGGGCGGACATCCGAGATGATGCGGAAGACGGTTAGTCCATGCGCGCGTCAATCTCGCCGAATCTCACCGACCTCCCTGTGCTCCTCAGCCTCTCTTCCGGCATTCCGCCGGCCGCGCTTGCCTTTGTAATCTGTGGACAGCAAGAGCACGCAAGACGGTGCAATGCTGTTTTGGAAAAAGTCCTGGTTGTCAGAGAGCCTGTCTTGTCATGTAAGCCAGTCGTACAATGACACCGTAAGCACAGGACCTCCTAGAACTTCCGTCCCTGGTGCCCTGGGCGAGGATTAACTATATATTCATGAATAGGGTTGTTAAGGGTCGGTATAGGGTTGTTTAGGGTTTTATAGGGTGTTTAAATAGGGTTTTCATAGGGTTTCATAGGGCTTTCTGGGAGCTTGCAGTACTCGGGTATTGCAAACACACACGACCTTTTCTCACCCGGACCTTGAAGCAAGAGCCTCGCCTTGTGCTATAGTGTGAGAGTTGAGGCCGACTCATACCTTAAACCGCCGAAACCTTAAACCCCAAACGTGCGCATGTGGTCGGTTCTCAAAATTATGGTCCCTTTCGGGGGTAGGCTAATTTTTGGGTGCCGCCTTGTCAGAAGGACCCCCCCAAAGCAGACCAACAATTCCGAGAAGTGACCTTGTCATGTTCTGTAGGCCTTGGCCTTGGCACCGCACCTGAGTCTGAAAACTCCAAGCAACTGCCTTGGAGACGAAACGAACCCTAAAAGGGTTTATGGATGTTTATGGTCCATATGACCTTCATGGGGGTTTTAGGAGTGTAGGCGTAGGGTATGTGGCCACAATTTTTCAGTCCCCAAGGTACAAGCAATCTTCTGCTCTGGCTATTCACCTTCTTGTCTATGATATTCTGACATCATCAGGCTTTTAGTTCAACTGAAGCCCTGCCCTCCGCACCCACAACGTCCTCACACCGAGGAAGCCCCTAGCCCAAAACCCCCCGCAGGGCCCTCAGATCATGCAGCAGAAGCCCCAGCCCTAAACCCTGAACTCTGAGCCCCGAACCCTGACCCCTAAACCCTTAACCCCAAACCCTGAACTCTATAAAACCTCATAAAACCCTGGAAAACCCTATCAAAACCCTATAACACCCTATAAACCCTATAAAGACCCTTAACAACCCCATCAACCCTCTGCGCCCCCCCCCAGGCGCACGGCCGCCAGCATCCGCCTCTTCGGGCCCCCAGAGTTGGCTGCAGAGCTCTACCACGCCTCTCGCGGCCGACGCTGAGGGGGGGTTTAGGGTTTAGGAGTTTAGGGTTTAGGGTTTAGGGTTTAGGGTTTAGGGTTTAGGGAGGAGTTTAGGGTTTAGGAGTTTAGGAATTTAGGATTTAGGGTTTAGGGTTGAGAGCTCCCCATATCAGCGCGCTGAAGTTGGAGGTGTGTGGGGTGTAATGCTCTGCGCGTTGTATCTTTCAAGGTCCACGGAAAGCCGGAGCGCCGTTCAGGCGCAACCCTTGCGGCCAGGGATGCGACTTTGGAGTTAGGGCAAGCTACAGCCACACCCCCCCCAAAAGTCAACAACCAACCGAAGCTACACAATCAGGGTTTGGGGTTTAGGGTTTAGGGTTTAGGGTTTAGGGTTTAGGGTTTAGGGTTTAGAGTTTACTGTAGGGGGTTCATATACCCTGTACTACAATAAGGGACCATAAACCCTGTTAGGGTTCATCTCGTCCAGAAGGAGGAGTGTAAGGCCTTTGTGTCAAGACCCAAAGTTTCCAACACGCGACTCTTTTCAGGAGTCTACCTGAATGAGGAGCATCTAGAGTTTAAGGCTTCGGAAGCTCATCTTCCCGAGGTAAGGGCTCCCTGCGTGCAGGTGTTCATGTGTACTTATATGATCCAACAAGACCGACCGGACTTACGACATATTAGCCCAAGTATATCATTATCTCTTTTCCCAACGAAATCCCCCTAATGTTAGAAGTGTGTTTTTCCAGACCTCCTCCTCCTCCTCCTCCCCCCCCCCTCCCGCTCCCCGATACTAAACCCGATTGACAGTAAGTGGGGCTTAGTGTTCAGAACTCGGTGGCCGAGGCTACAGGGTTTTGGGGTTTCGGGGGCAAGCCTACATTAAACTCTTGCTAAGTCCAAACATTAATTCTCGGCCGGACCAGCATCGGGGTTTACGAAAGCAAGGGACCCCTAATACAGCCCCGAATATAGTCCCTCACTAGTGGGGTCCCCTAATATAGTCCCGAATATAGTCCCTAATGAATTTCCTAAGTCGTAGGATCCCCTAATAACAACGGACCCCAATGTGCTACCCCCAATGTTGGACACCCCCAAAAGTTTTTTTTTTTTTTTTTTTTGGGGGGGGGGGGGGGGGGGTGGGTTTTTTTGAAACAGGGGCGGGGCGATTATTGGGGTTAGGAAGTGGGTTTAGGGTTTAGGTTGTTTTCTACCCTGCACACATAAGGTTTAGGGTTCAGGGTTTAGGGTTTAGGGTTCCTGGCTGGCATGTAGAGTCTGGGTTCAAAAAGGGTTTAGGGTTTAGGGTGTAGGGTTTAGGGTTGACGGTTTAGGGTGTCGTAAACCCAAAAGCATCCTGGCCCTAAACCCTAAACCCTAAACCCTAAACCCTAAACCCTAAACCCTAAACCCTAAACCCTGGCTGCATAACCATCCTGTGAGCTCGCATGCGCGACGGGGCCGAAGGTCGCTGGTGCTTCTTGGTAGCCTAGTTCTTGCCCTTTGTTTAGGTTTAGGGTTTAGGGCTTAGGGTTTAGGGTTTAGGGTTTAGGGTTTAGGGTTTAGGGGTTCCCTTATAAAGCAGCCAGCCCCAAGAAGGGGTCCTGCACCCTCATTATATAATATGGCGACTGAGCGAAAAGCCCAAAGCCCCCCAAAGTCTGCCCGGCAAGGCCCAAATCTCGCAGAGGGTTCAGGGTTTCAGGCTATGAGGGTTCAGGGTTCAAGGGTTTAGGGTTTAGGCTTTACGTAGGGTTGATGGTTGGACATGGCCAGTTCCCCATGGTTATGAAAGCTGCAACCCTTAGCATCCCCCAATCTGCCTGGGGTTGGGCTTTCCGCAGGATTCTCAAATAAGGGTTCAGGGTTTAGAGTTTAGGGTTTACAGGCGCTTACCACGCGATCTCTAGTCGATGAATGTCTTGCGGACCCTACTGTAACAGACTTCGTGAACGCTTCACAAGGCCATATTTGTAAAGAACAGGTTGCTTCAAGAGTTCCTTGCGCCCTCGGTTCTGCCTCAATTCTCTCCCTGAGTGAATGGTACCGTCTGATCCAGCGCGACATGACTTTTGGCCCTGTTGCCGGCGTTGCTTTGAGCTCCACATGTGAATACCCGAGACAGCGGGCGCTCGCAAACCGGAGCGCCGCTGGACAACGCTCGCGGGAGCCAAGATCGGAAGCTAAAAAGCTTCCTGGGGGATTGAGCCCTAAACCCCGAACCCTAAACCCTAAACCCTAACCCCCCAAACCCTAAAACCCCCACAGCCCTAAACCCCAAACCCCTTTCTTGTGGTTGAATATGAAGCCAGGGTTTAAGCCACACAAGGGGGCAATTAAAATGCCTAGTCGGGGGTTTTTTGCGCCAAAATAGGGTGCAGAGTTTGGAGATTTGAAGGCTTTTACTGCTTAGAGTATACCCAAAATGGGGCCCGGAATCTAGAGGGAGCCACCTGACCTCGCCTGCCCCTCCTCCTGCAGCCATGCAGCCGAGGCGGCGTTTCTTCTGTGCGCCTGCCGGCCGGACCAGGTCTGTGCGGAGCTCAGTTGCCTTGATAGAATGGGTTCCCCCGTCTGGTGGCCCAACATCCCCTCCCCAACTCACATGGCCTTTGCTGCATCGTAATCCCAGAACCCAGGCGCCTGAGTCCGATCTCCTAATGACGACCCAGCGTTCGTTGCAGGACTAAGAAAACCCGATCCGCACTCACGGCACACCGGCTCAAGCAGGAGAGCGAGTTGCCGCATTTCCCCAGACTGAATGGATCCGAACAGCCCCTCGTGGCATGGACACAAATTCCCTTAATTCTTGCTGGACATGGTGCAAATGCCGGAGGAAGTAGCCTGTGCCGTTAGGATGCATGGCATGCATACATGCTATAGGTGCATCTGACAGAGATGAACCACAACATGTGCAAAATGCCATCCAAGGGAGTTCATCCAGGGGTTCGGAGGTTGGGTTCTTGAGTTCGCGACGAGCTCCGGCTACGGGCCCGGCGGACACTTGCCAGCCATGAAGCTCAACAGGCGGGCTGCAGGGCTTGTGACGGGCTTATATACAGGGTCTGGAGCTACTGGCTTCGATACCCAGGCTTTTATAAAGGCTTTTAGCCTCGATAGTGGCCAATGCTTCATGTAGTAGAGGCCAGCTCAATTGCAAATGGATTGCCCGCGAAGATTTGCCATCCTAAATTCGGGCGGTTCATTCACTGATTGGCTCTACGGCTGACTAAGCCGTGCAACTCTGTTGACAGCGCTTTCGCTACAGAGATCGCTGAAAGAGTCCTTGCTGAAGAGGGTCGGAATATCCAGTGGTCAAAGGCTGAAGCAAATTGTCGGGCGACAGGGATGCGTTGAGGGACAGAGTTGCTTTAGGGTTTAGGGCCAAAGTTTAGGGTAGGGTTTATAGGGTTTATAGCTTTTTTAGAGCTTAGGGTTTAGGGTTGCTTCCCCCTTACTCCTGGCCAGGCCACCTAGGTGTTTGGGGGGTCACCGCAGCTTCGACTCACTGCTCTGCAGGTTCTTGGGCAAAATGGCCTGCACCTCAGGATCATAGGGTTTAGGGTTTTAGGGTTTAGGGTTTAGGGTTTAGGGTTTAATTAGGGGTTTCCCTACAACCCCCCTCTACACTACCCCCCCCCCCCCCCCCCAGGTTCCTACGCATAATCGAGGACACTTAGGGATAATCAAGCCTAAGGTTAATTCAACTGGCTGGTATCTTAGTAGTAGGGAATTGAGGGCCTTATATGCATAGAGGGGGGTAGTAGGGACACCCAGCTGAAGCCTGTTCACGTAACACAAGATGCATTCAGCTTGAAAAAGGCAGAGGCACATGATCTCTATAGTTTTTCGTTCGACATCCAGGGACCCGGGATACAAACGGAGTGAATGTAGGTAATCCCCCCCCCCCCCCCCCCAAAGCCTTCATTCCCTTCAAAGGTTCTTGCAAAGGTGTGGCAAACTATAGCAAGCAAGCACCCCCCCAACTGGGGAAACTGCCCATGCTACGTTCGAGATGCATCCCCAAACCCCACACCCCCAACTTGCCCCCAACCCTAAAACCCTGAATTCGCTCACAATGTGAGGGCTTAGGGTGTGTTTCGTTTGAGGGCCATGCAACATGCAAGCCACGCTGCTTAATTCAATGATCCCGAATGCATGGAGGCAGATCTCCATTTTCAACCCTAAACCCTAAACCCTAAACCCTAAACCCTAAACCCTAACCCCTACAAGAGCACCGTCAGGCCTTGTCTGACCGTCCCGCAACAGCCGGGAAAGACCCTGCACCATGATTACATCCGTCTGCATTTTTGTATAAGGTGGATCTGTGGGATACTTCGTTCGTTTCTTAATGGGTTTAAGCGAATCTTATCTAAAGGCTCAAAAAATAGAGGTCCAAGCTAGTCCAGCGGGCTGTGCTACTTAGCACTCTGCACCCAGAAACTGGGCTTCTCGTCTGAGGTGAACGAGACAGTGACCATGGAACTGAAAAACGGCACGCAAGTGCAGGGAACGATCACTGCGGCAGGGGCCCCATTTTTGCAGGTCGCTTCGCTTTGCTGTGGTGTCTGCGCTAGGTGCTGGATTTGCTTTCGGTGTGCTTGCTGCACATACCATGAACAACTCCCTAAACCCTAAACCCTAAACCCTAAACCCTAAACCCTAAACCCTAAACCCTAAACCCTAAACCCTAAACCCTAAACCCTAAACCCTAAACCCTAACCCTAACTTCCCTAGCCTCAAACCCCAAACTGCATGAACCTTCACAACTGCAAGGTCGACACCTCCATGAACACCCACTTAAAGCAGGCCGGGCTGCTAGGGTTTAGGGTTTAGGGTTTGGGGTTTAGGGTTTAGGGTTTAGGGATTTTCGGTTTAGGGTTTAGGGTTTAGGGTTTGGGGTTTGGGGTTTGGGGTTTCGGGTTGAAAACAGCTTACAGGGCCGAAAGCCACAGAATTCGATGAGATCCATCCGGGCCCAGGATGCAAAGACATATGCGCCTGCAAAGATTTTTTTCCGAACGACTTGCTGTAAGATGCTACCAGGTGTACTGTAGGGGTCAGAATAATGACTTAGGGTTTAGGGGTTTAGGGTTTAGGGTTTAGGGTTTAGGGATTTGCAATAGTATTCCCTTCTGGTCCCCATATAATTACATAGTAGCCCCCAAAACCCTATGCGAATCAGGGGCCTTCATGAAGGCCCCTGTATTCGGCTGCCCCTGATTGGGTGACCTCAACTCCTGTCTCAGGTGAGGGTCACCGTCCGGCACAAGAACCCTGTGAACATGGCCTTCCTGTCCCTCGGCGCGCCTCCATCGATAAAATCTTCTTTGTGCCGCAAGCCACGAAAATCTACTAAACGGTTCCTTGGGAACGAAATGAACCCTAAAAGGGTTTATGGTTCATGCACCCTTGATGGGAAGTATAGTAGTGGGAAGATGACCCCAATTTTAGGGTCCATTTGGGTCCTTAAGGTTCTGGGCAGCGCATATGTAGGGCTTTAAGGGGAATCGGCGGCGGTGCGGTCTAGTACGGCAGCACAGCCGAGCACACAAAGCTCAAGTCTTCCTCCACCCGACCGCCCACCCGAAACCCTACAACCTGCACCCTAAACCCTAAACCCTAAACCCTAAACCCTAAACCCTAAACCCTAAACCCTAAACCCTAAACCCTAAACCCTAAACCCCACACCCTAACTTGAAGCCTAACCCTCCACCAAACCGAAGCCGAGGTCCATCCGTGGGGCCAACATCCGCTATGCTCTTTGCCTGCGTTTCCCCTCAGCCACTCTCGTTGTTCTTCCGAAGCCTCGAACCCTAACAAACCCTAGTATAGGGTTAGGGGTTTGGGGTTTAGGGGTTTAGGGTTTAGGGTTAGGGGTTTGGGGTTTAGGGGTTTAGGGTTCAGGGTTAGGGGTTTAGGGTTCTGGGTTTAGGGTTTAGCCCTAAACCCCGATATCAACCCTAAGGGGGTACTATAATCGCTATTAAGGACTGTCAGTATAAGGGGGAACATCCCAAACTTTTGGCTAGTATACGGGCCTGATTAAGTAGAACAGACTTTTTTTTTTTGGGGGGGGGGGGGTTAGTGCATTATATAGGGACACCCTACTAAAAACCCTAGTATAGGGGCCTGATTAATTAGAACCTTTTTTTTTTTTGGGGGGGGGGGATTATAGTACAGTTATATATTGATCATCAGAGAATACGACTAGGAATTATTCCGACCCCTAGAGTAGAAACCCTAAACCCGCTCTAAAGCACGTAAATATGGCACTGGCTTGACGCATCCGACCTGGTGCGACAGGAGGGTTTAAGGTGAAACCCTAAACCCCAAATTTCTCGGGTGTATAGGGCTTGTCGGGTTTCCAGCACCGCCCCCCCCCCCCCCCCCCCCCCCCATGAAGGATCAGGGGCTTTTGGGCCTACTGCTAGTTTGGGTGTTTTATTTAGAAGGTGCCCTTAATCTTCCTCCAACACATAGCCCCTATACCTTATGTAGTCCCTGTATTACCCTCGGTAGCCGCTAAAGACCCCCTTAAGGAACCCCTGAGGTCCCTTAGAAGGATCCCTCCTTTAGTCCCTTGATTCTCGACATAGACCCCAGCCGTTTGAGGAGCGATCGGCGCACCTTTTTTTGTAAACCCTAAACCCTAAACCCCAAACCCTTTTGGGGGAACCGAGTGGCTGAGGTCATTCTGCCAGAGCATGCGGATCTCAACTTCCTTCTGATCGATGATGCGGGGGCCCTAGAATGCTGGGGTTGGTTGAGGTTGGCCGTCTTTTTTCTCAGCAGTTGAGGGGGGGGGAGAGAGATGTTTTTGCGGGTTGCTGCTGGTTTGCCCTAAAGCCTAAAGCCGAAACCCTAAACCCCAAACCCCAAACCCTAAACCCTGAGCCGAAGGAGTTCAGGAGTTCACAGAGGCCTTAGCTTCATTTGTCTGCTCCGGCTTTAAAATTCAGAGCTTCTCTGTGGTCGCAGGTCGGGTGGGGTTTACGAAAATCAGAGATCGCCAATATAGTCCGCCAAATAGTCGGATTCCCTTATAATGAGGACCCCCAATAAGATACCCTAAACCCTAAACCCTAAACCCTACACCCACACCCAAACTTCGGAAACCCCCATGCTTTGCCGACGTGCCAGGCACCGAAGCAGAACCCGCCCAAGTATCCTGCTGGAAGCAAGAAGGCCAAGAAGGCCCTTTCCATTGCTGGTGGAGGTTTAGGGTTTAGGGTTTGGGGTTTGGGGTTTAGGGCTTAGGGTTTAGGGTTTAGGGTTTAGCTTGGTAGGGTGTCTCAGTCAGGGTCCAAGAGGTTCCATTGAGCCCTGCACTAGATTGGGAGCCGGGAGTGGGAGGGAGGGAGGCAGCAGGAGGGAGAGAAGCAGCCCTAAACCCTAAACCCTAAACCCTAAACCCTAAACCCTAAACCCTAAACCCTAAGCCCTAAGCCCTAAGCCCTAAGCCCTAAGCCCTAAGCCCTAAGCCCTAAGCCCTAAGCCCTAAGCCCTAAGCCCTAAGCCCTAACCCTAAACCCTAAACCCTAAGCATTTGAGGTGCATCCTTGGGGCCGCAGCCTAGGGCTCAGACAGAAGGTAGACACGAATTCCCCGAACTCCCGGATTTTCTTAGATCTCGGCCATGTCTCCCGCACCCTGGCACCTTGGCTTCATTATTATTATTATTATTATTATTATCATTATTGTTTTTTCATGATTATGATTATTATGATGATTATCATTCTTGTTATGATTAGTGCCATTAGTAGTGTTATCCGTATTATTATTATTAGTAGTACTATTGTGATTGTTTTTGAAAATCTTAGTGCTTGAGGAGCTAGGGCCCAGAGTAGGCCCTTATTCCCTTTTGTAGGGTTTATAGGTTCCCATCTGCGCCTCTTTAAACTCAAGGTTGCCCTTTGGGCCTTAAACCCTAAACCCTAAACCCTAAACCCCAAACCCCAAACCCTAAACCCTAAACCCTAAACCCTAAACCCGACGTTCGTGGGTAGTCACATGAAGGGTTGTGAAGAAGGTATTGCACATCAGAGAACCCTAGTGAAGGTACGAACCCTGTGTGTGTAAACCGCTTCGGAAGTATGCTTTACATTTATCATATACAGCCCGAGGAAAGATTCAATAAAAAAAAACAATGTTTTAGATATGTTTCTAAGGGGTGTGTATAACTAGCCATGAACCTTCAAGAAGGTGACGTGGGTGCTGTTTCCGGCTCTCTTGGCACCCCTTGATGTCGACAGCTCTTTTCACCTCAGACTCAAGAAGGACTCTAAACCCTAAGCCCTCCTAACCCTAAACCCTAAACCCGAAACCCTAAACCCTAAACTCTAAACCCTAAGCCCTAAACCCTAAACCCTAAACCCTAACCCTAAACCCTTCTTTACAGCTTCTTTTCACAGCTACTTAACTTGTACCTTTGGCTTTGTATGGACTAAGGTACCTTTTGGCGGGCGCCGCGATCACGTTTGCGGTCCAAAAGTACGGCTGCTGCATCTGGAAGTTGGGCGACCAGGTGGGCAGTGTTGGGGGTTATTGGGGTTTAGGGTTTAGGGTTCAGATTGCCAATTTTTCCCTTTAGCTGCAATTGATATAAACGGCCTAAACTGCTTGTGTTTTTCGGCAGTCCGCCTACAGAAAGTTCTCGGTCCGACTCAACATATGAAGCGGAAGCATAGTGGATGCTCATCACCTCAACCTTCAGCCCAGAACCCCTTTAGGATTTAGGGCTCAGGGTTAATCAGGGTTTTTGGGCAGAGGTTTGGTTCTTTGTGGTTCCGACTGCAATACCAAGCTCTCGATTTTGTGGGTACAGCGTAACTCCCTAAACTCTAAACCTCATAAATCATAAACCGCATAAGCTCTACCGAGACTAGAAGATCTACAAGCACCCTAAACCGTAAAAGAGAAACCCTAAACCCTAAACCCTGCAGGAAGCCCTGCAAAGTCAACAGGCCACAAGCCACAAACGCTACAAGCCGTAGACCCTCCACCTGGAGTATAACCCGTTTGCCCTCAACAAGAGGAGAAGGCACCATGAATTCTTAGTATACCTCCCCCTTTGGGGTACCTAGGCTACTTCAGAAAACCCTAAACCCTACACCCTACACCCTAAACCCTAAACCCTAAACCCTAAACCCTAAACCCTAAACCCTAAACCCTAAACCCTAAACCCTACCGTCGAAGTTGCACTTCCTGGAGGTGGGTGTTCGGGGTGCGCCGGCGCCCGTGCGCGCGGTGCCCAACGCGAGCGCTTGGGAGCCGCTGAAGCAGATCCTGCAGTCCTGGGCTCCTTGTCCTGAGGGTTTAGGGTTTAGGGTTTAGGGTTTAGGGTTTAGGGTTTAGGGTTTAGGGTTTAGGGCTCCTTGCCTGGCTGGTTCTTAGTAGGGAATGGGGGAATGAGGGCCCTGTAGTCCCTTAAAGGTATATTATAGGGCCCGAATTCCCTCATTCCCTACTAAGAATCAGGAATGAGGGCCCTATAGAATCCCTTAAAAGGTATTTATATATCTATATATATATATATGTATCTACATACATATTGTTTGTATAGGGCCCTAGTTCAGAACCAGGAAGAACCTGCGGGTTGTTCAGCACGGATTGATGGGTTACCCTATAAGGGTCCATGTGGAGGTTTCCGTACCCTTTTTCGGGGGTCCCTTTAAGGGGATTGAGGGTTTAGGGTTTAGGGTTTAGGGTGATTCCATTCAATTTGGGGTATCAAAGGGGTACGCCTATTTTGGGAAATTCCCAATGTACCTTAGTAGTTTTCTTTGGGGGGCTCAAAGGCGTTCCTATTTTGTAGCTTCAGGGCACGTATATTTTACTATATTATAGGTACATGGACGCTCAGGGTTCCAGGGTTCACGGGTAGCATGCGTTATGTGTGCATATACAGGGGACATAAAGGGAATGATCTTGGCAACTTCTAAGGATCTTGCATCGGGGCTGGTAGGGCTCAGCTTTAGGCGTTTTTTTAGGGGGGATATTCGGGCTCATCGCTGCACAGCGCCATACGCTGGTGGCTGAAGGTTTTGTACTGAAGTGACAGGGTGTGGCTGCAGGTGTCGGCTTACTTGGCTGTTGCGATGAACAACGAAGAGTCCAGTGAAAGCGCCAACAGAGTTCTTTTGCATTGGTGGGCAACTTGCGCTTCAGTATGAACAGGAAGAAGCACACAGCGTAAGACACCTGGCACAAGCTCGCTTGTGAAATGGTTTCTGGGGTAGTGTGAGAGTGGCAGACTTGGGTGTGGCAAAGAAGTTTGAATGCGTACCAAGACTCTCCCCTTAGAATCCCTTTGTAGTGGGGGATCACTTGGTGGTGGAGTCGGCCCAAGCCCTAAACCCTAAACCCTAAACCTTAAACCTTAAACCCTAAGCCCTAAGCCCTAAACCCTAAACCCTAACCCTTAAACCCTAAACCCTAAACCCTTCGTGCCATCATGTTGAGCCCAGGAGTTCACTTCGAACTACGCCGTTGCAGCAGCTTGGCCGTCCGAAGTCCGAACTCAAATGTTCCATCTACCCATATTGCAGGTATCTTCGGCCCACAAAAAAGAACCAGCCTAGGGCCCGAAACCCTAAACCCTAAACCCTGAACCCTAAACCCCAAACCCTAAACCCTAAACCCTAAACCCTAAACCCTAAACCCTAAACCCTAAACCCTAAACCCTAAACCCTAAACCCAAATCCTACTGCATAAGGTGGGTGATGCGACTCACGGGCGGCTCTTCACCTATGAGGGCGGCAACTTCACCCTGAAGACGACGCTTGCGTTGCAGAGGGGCTTTGGGCGGGGGCGGGGGGTGTTTAGGGTCTACTGCAGGGTTTGGCCCTAAACTCTATAAGGCAAGGTTTACAAAGATGTTCAGAGACTATAATATCCCTAAACCCTAAATGAGCTCTATAAGGCAAAGTTTAGTTAGGGCATCTTGTATCAACTCCTATACTGCAAGTAAGATGCCGTCATGGCCTGCAGCTGCCAGGCCCTCATCGAACAGAGAATCTAAACCCGAAACCCTGGCACTAGCAGGCCCTGTTCAGGGTTTAGTTAGGGTTTAGGGTTTAGGGTGTAGGTATGTCACGTCAGAGGTTCAACACGTGGCCGATCTTTCTGACGCCTTGCCCAAGGAAGATCCCCACCGGCAGCACCAGCAAGTGGCCCTCGGCCATGATGTCCATGGCCAGCAATTTCAGTTTAGGATTGGGTAGCCCTAAACCCTAAACCCTAAACCCTAAACCCTAAACCCTAAACCCTAAACCCTAAACCCTAAACCCTAAACCCTAAACCCTAAACCCTAAACCCTAGCCCACAATCTTGGCCAACGGTATGGGCCTCTAAGCGTCTTGGCAAGGTTCTTTCGACTCTGGAGCGCGACTTTGCGTAGTAAAACTGTAAGTTGAGGTCGACGAAGCTGTCCCCCCCCAACGAGCCCCTAAACCTTATAAGTCAAAAATGTCGCTGCGTTATCCCTGTATATGTATATAAGCACATCACATCGAATTATATACATATACACACACACACACATAGAACCCTCAAAGCCCTAAGCTGCAAGCCGACCGTGATCCTTAAACCTAAAACCCTAAACTCGCCTCGCAGGTCGCGGGTAGGTGGGTGTCAAACCATCCCCCAAAAGTTTAGGGTGTAGGGGTTTTGGGGTTTTGGGGTTTTGGGGTTTAGGGGTTTAGGGGTTTAGGGTTAACTCAAAATCCCAAATCCGAAAACGCCAAAACCCTAAGCCCTAAAACCCAAACCCCTAAAATACCTGAAATCCCCAGATTCTGAAAACCCTTACGAACCCCCCCAAAACCTCCGAAACCCCCCAAAACCACCTAAACCCTAAACCCTAAACCCCCAACAGCCCTTATTGAGGTTCGCAGGCCTTGTCAACGACGGCTCGGTGGCCTCGCTGGACGACCCCGTCTACAAGTACCTTCCCTGGTGGACGAAGGATCCCAAGGACCGACTTTTGGGGGGTTTGGGGTTTAGGGTTTAAGGATAACCCTAGACCCGAACAGCAAAAAGGGGTTTGGGGACTGTTGCCACTTCTGCTTCAAGCCCGGATGCAAAAGGGTGAACAAACGGCTGAAGGTGAAGAAGGGTTCAGGGGTCTTGGAGTAGGTCCTTTGAGGGTTTAGGGTTTAGGGATAGCCCTAAACCCTAAACCCTAACCCTAAAAGCCAAAAAGGGTTTCGGGGCACTTCCTTGACCTTCCGAGGACCCGCGCTCCACTGTGACGCCTCTTGGTGACCAGTGCACTCCTACCCTACTACTATTTGCTTAAGCACCCCCCCCAGAGAATCGTAAAAAAAACAATAATATCCCCCTGAGTACCTTATAATCCCTTCCCCCTTTTATTAAATGAAACCCTAATGATAAAAACACTTTCCGGAAAATCCTGCCGAAACCAACCCCGCCTTTAAAACCCTATTCCGAATTAGGGGGGGGGGGGTGGGGTTCAGGCCTCCAAGAAACCCCTCAACACCAATAAAACCCTCAGAGGGTTACTTAAGTTGATTACTTGATTAACCCTGAAGTCTAATGAATTATGACATGTCGATAAGAATACACCCGAATAATAAAAACACTTTTCGAATTTTTAAAGGGGGGGCCCCCCCCGTTTAATAAAAGGGGGAAGGGATTAGGGAAGAATGTTGTTTGTTTGTTTTTTTTTTGGTGGGGGGGTCTTAAGCAAACAGTGGCCTAAGCCCTAAACCCTGTACCCTCAATTCTTCAAAGGGGGAAGACGGTCCCAGAGCACTCCAGCTACAGTACCCAGGAGGCATGCTTTGGGATGCTTCATAGGCATTGTAGTACCCCCCCCCCCCATTAGAATCCCTGTTCGGACTCTCAGTATAAGGGGAAAACTCCCAGGAGGCATGATAGAAGCCACCCGAGCTTTCTATTCCTCAGTACGGAATTCGGGGTTTAGGGTGGATGTACAGAATACATGTCGTTTGTAGCAAATATAGATAAATAACACGAATAAATATGCAAATAGATAAATAAATAAATAGTCATATATGTATATATGTATGTAAGTTTTTACGTATGTGTGGTTTATGTTGCACCTCTTTCTCTCTCTCAAGCGAGATGGATGTCGAGGTTCCGCATGCTCCTTAGCTTCACCTCGGGTTTCGGTGATGGCCACCCTGGCGAGGAGGCAGGCCCCGGAGCATACAATGCAAGGGGTTTAGGGCCGCTTAGGGTTTACCTGGGCATTATGTTTAAAACTAGCCCCCCAAAACCATGAAAGCCTAAGTAAAAGGACCATGAGTTTACACACTTCGCGGGAACGGTTAGTGGAGTTAATGGTTTCGGGAAGACAATGCCGCCCTGCGTGGTCGGACATTGCTGCGAAGTAAATCTACCCACAATCATATGTGGTCCTTTTCTTCAGGGAAGCCCCTTAAGGTTAACTGCAACCTAAAGCCTAAGCCTAGACGCTAGCCTTCTTAATAGGATATCGGTATCGCCCATGGGCTAGCACGAGCACTGGAGGCCAACACCCGCGCAGCCCGCCAGTGGCGCCGGGAGAACCGCCCGAACGAGACGAAGGCGCCTGCATTTAAAAAGACCAGGATGTCGGGCTATGCAACAGCAAATTTGCAAGAGCGAGAGAGGTATTAATTAGTATATGTTTATCTCATATAATTACTATAAATAAATAAATATGTATGTATATATATATATGTATTTATACATATTTATTTTCATTTGTTTATTTGTTGCTTCATTCATTCACATATCTGTTTGTTTATCTATATACACACTGATGTTTACAGACGTTCATTTGTAGCAGGACTCTGTACTCACAGCATATTAAACGGGCTTGAGGGAAATCGAACTCACAAGTGCCTTATGAAGAAGCAGCAGATGAATGTTGCCCTGTCGAAGCCCCAAGTGGCATCCCCACACCCTGGGCCATGAACCCCTCAGCCCTAAACACACACACACACAGTCAGCTAGGAGGCCAAAAAAAACTCAACCTAAGCCCATCTAAACCCTAAACCCTAAACTCTCAACCCTAAAACCTAAACCACGCTAAACCCTCCCTAAACTCCCCCTTGAAAACCCGTGGATTTGCCAAGGCCTTTGTGGCCCGACGCTTGGCGGCGAAGCCCTGCGACCAGAAGACCGGCGGCATCCTCGCCTGCGCCCAGTACATCTATGAGAACGTGCCCTGGACTGGATAAGGTTTAGGGTTTAGGGTTTAGGGTTTAGGGTTTAGGGTTTAGGGTCTAGGGTCTATAGGGTTTAGGGTTTAGGGTTTAGGGTTTAGGGTTTAGGGTTTAGGGTTTAGGGTTTAGGGTTTAGGGTTTAGGGTTTAGGGTTTAGGGGCTAAGTTCAAGGCAGGAGCCGAACTAAACCAACGGAGCAGGGTGCTTTCCCCTCATTCCCCGATCTCCAGGGGCCCCTGCACGGCCAGTACAGAAAGAAGACTACTTCATACAACAAACAATATGAATATGCATATAAGATGATGTGCATATACATACCTATATATACATATATATATATATACATATGTATAGATAGATAGATAGATAATCTGCGTATTTATGCATTTGGTTATACACATTTTCTGTATAGCAGTTCAGTATTGCCAGACTCGCATGCTAACACCCTGCAGACTGCAGAGTGGTGTGCGAGCTCGCCCAAAGGTCAAGCTGATCGGCACCCCCGGGCAGGCCCTCCGGGCAAGACCTTGCGAACTGTGGGCATCCTTTTTTGGGCTTTTTGATTTCGGGTTTAGGGTTTATAGGGTTTAGGGCCCCTAAACCCCAAACCCGAGCCCTAAACCCTAAACCCTGAACGGGTTTATAGGGTTAAAGGTTTAGGGTTCATTCACAGACTCCCGGCTGGAAGTCTGAACTCGCGAAGGGGCCTCGGTGTACTTGGGGTTCAGCTTTTAGGGCTTAGGGTTTAATTAGGGTTTAGGGTTAGGGTTTAGGGTTTAGGGTTTAGGGTTTAGGGTTTAGGGTTTAGGGTTTAGGGTTTAGGGTTTAGGGTTTAGTCCTTCATAGGGATTGTAGTACCCCCTATTTCAAAATCCCCTGTTCGTATAAGGGGGATCCCAAGGTTCAGCTTTTGCTTTTGTTGTGACGCGTTGGGTTGAGGGTCTTTGCTGGTGCAGGGGTGTAGGGCGTCGTGCTGCCGTTTCGTTGAAGGTCTATACCGGTTGGAGCCTCGATCCACAGGTGTAGGGAGAACGTTGAGGACTTACAATGCCCAAAGTACAACTAGGGTTCAGGGTTCAGGGTTTTGTTTGTCGACGTGTCCGATCAGAACATGAGCCTGGCATTCTGAGTTGTGGGGAATAGGTGCAAAGGGGACTCGTCAAGAGAGTTGGGCAGCACAGACGACTACAGCCCTCCTTTCAGGGGTATCACCAGTAGTCTTCCCACGCAGCAGCAGGTCCAAGCTGGGTAGAACGCCCGAACATCTTCCGCAATGGCAGCAAGACATCTGCTTCTGCTCCTAGGTGGCCTTCTATCACTGCTGCAAGCCCCCAGCACATTTCTGGCCTCTCGGTTCACAGTTCCTCCGAAGCGGAGCACCCACGGCCGAGAGGTGAAACGCCTGTACCATGTCACCGCACATGGGGATGCCATCCGCAAGGACGGGTTCATGATCCCCGGTGACAAGGGTACCTTTGGCGGTGGAATCTACTTCGCGGACACAGTGGCTGCTGCAGTGAGCAAGGCGACCAGCTCGGGTTTTCTGGTCGTGGCAGATGTGCACGTCGGCAAAGCCATGTCTGTGAGCGAACAAAAACCGCAAGATTGGAGCCTGAGTGGCTCCAACGGATGGCTAGTTCTTCTCGCAGTCATGGCTGTAGCTGCACTGGTCCTCGTGGGAGCTATGTACCTGTACGAGCTGGTGACAGACGCGGACTTTGGAGCCTCCGGTGACTTGATGGACATGATGGGCCTGTCCCCGCCCCTAGACTCGTTCCCTGCAAGTGAAGGCGACTGGGCAAGTTGCTTCCGCACGTTGCAAGAGGCAGGGTACGATTCCCTATACGCCACCGGCATCGACACGGGGCCGGAGTACGTGGTCTTCAACAAGGACCAGGTAGAAATAGTTGAGGTTCGCCGAATGTAGCGCGGCTCCACCAGATTGCATACCAATTTGAGATTATATAGTTCCTTTCGCCTTGCACTGTTTTGCCCGCATGGCACCGCAAAGGTGATGGAACTGCAGTTCCTATGTTCGCATTTGAAGCAACCGAAACAAGACCGAGAGCCCGCGCCACATGTGCAGAAAAGAACACAAACTCGGCCTTTGCCCAAGTCATAGCAGCGTAGGTCCCAGTCCCCCCACCGGGATGTCAAGCATTTCCCAAAGAAGGGGCTCCTATCGTAAACCCCCTATTAGGAGTACATTAAGGGGAACCTATAGGGGAACAACCTTAGATGTACAAGTCTCAATCCTTTGATCCAAGAGTCTTGCTTCGAAGGCTTGCGGGAAGTCATACCATACTCGTGAAGGGTTTAGGGTTTAGGGTTTAGGGTTTAGGGTTTAGGGTTTAGGGTTTAGGGTTTAGGGTTTAGGGTTTAGGGTTTAGGGTTTAGGGTTTAGGGTTTAGGGTTTAGAGGAGTTAAAAATCCAAGCAAAGATCTGGAGCCTATAAAAAGCGTGCCCCTATCATATAAGATCGGGTCCCTTGGGTAAGGAGAGTATGTAAGTTTAGGTGTTTTTCAGGGAGAGGCTATGTCACGAAAGCTCGCGTAGCGAAGCTGGAGTTTTATCTGCTTTAGCAGCAGGGGGCCGACCACGGCCAGAAAACAGCGTATTATTGATACTATCTTATTAGGGGGGGGGGTGGGGGGGGGGGGGTAAATTGATATATATCACACGAATTCCTTGGTTTTGGAAAGGGGGGGGGGGGGGGGGGGGGGGAGGGGGGGGGAGGGGGGGGGGGTAAATTGATACATCACACGAATTCCCTGGTTTTGGAGGGGGGGGGGGTGGGGGGGGGGGGGGGGGGTAAATTGATATATCAATACCTTAAGGGGAGGCGTTTTTACGTCAAGACCTGACTCCGTCGAGTGTTGACCGCAGCGCGTGAGTCAGGGTCCCAGCACAACATGCGTCGCCGCCCACTAGTGATGTGTTGATTGCAACAAGCTAGTTGATTGCAAGAAGCTAGTATCTACCCAACACTGCGACGGCTGAAAAGAAGACGCTGGCCCCTCAAGCATGCCTCCAACTGGGCCCTGCCCGCACTTTCTCTTGCAACTTTGTTCTTGCTTCCGGCCCCCGAGCTTTCGTCCTCCCTGCCTCCGGCCCTCAAGTAAGATCAGGTCGTGTGGGTAAGGAGAGTACGTAACCTTTGGCGTTTTTCAGGGAGAGGCTTCGTAAGAGCAGGCTGCCTGACTTCTAAGTTCTGGTGTTTTTGGCAGATGCTGCATGGGTCTCCTGCACAGGTTTGTGCGGGCTTCAACACGGGCCTCCAACACGGGCCTCCTACGGGGACCCTTGGCAACTTGCAGGCTGCTTACGTGCCACTTACGTGCCACTTACCACTTACGCGCCACTTACGGCCACTTACGTGCCGCTTACATGCCACTTACATGCCGCTTACATGCCGCTCAGGCCACTTGCGAACTTACGGGCCCCTCATGGGCCTTCGCGCCACTTACAAGCCTATATAGAGCCATTCGCGAGCCACTTACGGGCCTCTGGCTGCTTCGAGCCTTCTGCGGAACTGGTCTTGGAGTTCGAGCGACGAGAGCTTGCTTGACGAATGCTGCGCCCGTTCGACTGACAAAAAAACGGGGCCCTGACAAACCCTGGATCGGGTTGAATTCTCACGAGAGCTTACTCAAAGACAGGGTCGACGCAAAAACATGCTTACACAGGATAGCCAAGCCTCAGCCCTTTTTGACCTTACAAGCTTCTCATTTGCTCTTCCCCGAGACATCCCCTCACATGTGCCTCACATGCCACTCGCCAGCCACTCACCAACCCAACCGCAACCTCTTATATGATAGGGGCACGCATTTTATAGGCACCTGATCATCCCCTTGAAAAAAGCAGCCCCTCAGTTCAACCTCAGTGGAAGTACCAACATCCTTCGCATGAAGCTGGCCGACTGGTACTTAAGGCTCCCTAGTTCCCTATCGTACCGGCCTTCCCTCCTCCACTCCCCCCCTGCAACACCCCTGAGTTGGAGCAGGAGTGCCCCTGAACCCTTAAGGGACATGCCTTAAGTCATATTCAAGATCCCGCTATAAATTCAGGTCTCTTCCCCTAAGCCCTAAACCCCACTAGCAAGCTGAAAAAGGGGCCATACACAAGGATCGTTCACCTAAGCCCTAAACCGCAAGCTGCCAAAGAGGTGGACTCTTACAACCCAAATCACCTCTGTTTCCCTAAACCCTAAACCCTAAACCCTGGACTAGGCCCCAGACCCTAGACCCTAAACCCTAAACCCCTTGCCCCTTAACCCAAACCCTAAAACCCCCCTGCGAAGAGGTGTATTCTTACAACTCCAATCACCTGCAGCTCGCCGCAGCGGTCGCTGTGACAGTGACGGGCCTCGACATCCAGCAGGCCCGAGATCCTACTTGGTTAGGGTTTAGGGTTTAGGGTTAGGGTTTAGGGTTTAGGGTTCTAGGTTCTAGGGTTTAGGATTTAGGGTTTGGGGTTCCTCGAACCTGAGTCGGTCTGCGTTGAGGTCTCGTCTCTATCTTGATGGTCTCAGAGGGGTTGGTGCCCGACATCCGAGACTCACACGCACGCAGAGTCCTGAACGGTCGAAACCTTACTCAACTTACAGTGCAGCATCGTGTGCCCCATCCGGCATCCTCCTGTTTTGGGAGGTGATTCAGAAGTACCTTGTGGAGGCTTTTGACATGAAGAACAGCTCATACCCTGGCAGGCCCAGACTTTTTTTGAAGTTACAGCTTCAGGGCATTCTGGGCCTACACCCCAACCGAACAAGAAGGGTTTAGGGTTTAGGGTTCTGAAGCTTAGGGCTGCTCAAGCTTCGGGCTTCTCAAGCTCAGGGCTTCTAAAGCTTAGGGCTTGAGGCGACGCATGCCCGCGGCAGAGCACTGCATATGTGTTTGGAAGCATTGGGCATTTCCATTCCAAGTGTAGAGGGTGAGGGCCGTCAAAGCTGGGGGCCGCCGTCTTGGAGTTGCCAACAAGCGCATACTTCAGAATGCCCGTAGCGCGTCGCCAGATTTCTTCAGCATTTCCGACATCCCCACTGGGTGTACTGACGCACCGTCTCAACACCCCCCCCCCCCCCCCCCCCCACATTCCCGGCGCCGCCCCGAACCGGCTCATAAACCCTAAACCCTCGTCTCATAAGTCTCCACGCCAATGCTGCAGTTGCCCGGACTTCGGTGCCGACCTCTTCACGACAGGACTCGAGCCGGCAAGACTCGTCTAGGTTTAGGGTTTAGGGTTTGGTTTAGGGTTTAGGGTTTAGGGTTTAGGGTTTAGGGTTTAGGGTTTAGGTTAGGGTTTAAGGTGTTCATGCGAAGTCGCAAGCCTTCTCGCCAAGGTTGCTCAAAAGCATCGAAAAAAACCCTCGGTAGGCCCTTATCGGGAGATGGCACATTTTCCCTTAATTGGGTGTAAGAAGACAACATCTAGGAATATTTTTCAGAGGGTTTTAGCAACCTTCCTCGAACCCCGTCAAATCCCTCACCGAACCATCCCCTCCCCCAAACTCTAGCACGTTTTTTTTTGGGGGGCGGGACGCAAAAAACCGAGTTATCCCCGAAGGATTCTGCCCTACTCTGAACTGGAGAGTTGAGGGCTCCGTTTGACCCGACACCCTAGAACTACCCGAAGACCTCCAAGCCCCGTACAAGGAGAGGACTACGAGAAGTTCATGAAGTCCCTCTTGGGCTACGAGGCCCCAACAACCAGGGTTCAGGGATCACAGCTGTTTTGGGGGGCTCAGGGTTTTGGGGTTTTGAGGTCAAGGTTTTTAAATTCGCACTTTCTCATTCCAATTGCAGAAGGAGGGTCAAGGACCAAGGGTTTAGGTTTTGGGAGATTCGGTGCTGGTTTCCATGTGCGCTGGCGAGCTCCATGTCCATCCTAGAGTTTGATCTCAATGGCAGGCCTGAAACCTTCAGGAACCGGTATGATGCAGACCTCCAACGGGCTTTTAATGTCGGCAGCATGCGTGGGGCCGGTTCGGGGACGACGAGAGAGTCTTTTTATTTTCAAGTCAAAACCTCAAGCCCTGAATCCTTATACGATTCAGTGGGCTGATTGGAAGTAGTCCCCATTCCAGACATGCCTAAACCCCAAAACGTCTTTGAGGGTTTATGTTGAGGACGATTGTTTGGAAGGCTGGGAAGCCGGATTTTGAGATTGACAGGTCTACAAGAAGTCCCTCATCGACGCCAGCGAGGTCGACGCCACACCCTTCATGAAGGCTGGATGTGCGTTTTCAGAGCTTCATTGGTTTATAGGGTCGATAGGCCTTAAGCCCCAACCCTAAACCCTAAACCCTAAACCCTAAACCCTAAACCCTAAACCCTAAACCCTAAACCCAGCAAGCCAACGAGGCTGGCAGGCTTCGGCTTGAGGGTTCGGATGTTGCTTTTCAGTTTGGATTAGCATGCTAGGGTTTAGGGTTTAGGGTTTCGGGTTTAGGGTTTAGGGTTTAGGGTTTTGTAGGGTTTAGGGTTTAGGGTGTAGGGTGTTCTTTTCTGGGTCGCGCTGTCGAGTTGTCCGGCCCTCGTCAAGACCCCTGTAAACCCTAAACCCTCAACCGGACCATTGCCAGGACATGTACACCCTCTATGGGGCGCCTCTGCTGCCCGTAGCAGTCGCTGAGGGATGCGCAAGGCCTTCTTTCACTTTATGGGGGCTTCAAATCTTACTTAGCTCATAGTTGAACTTTAAGCTTTTTGGGTTTCCTTATTGGGGGGGCTTACGACATTGGGTACCTTACGGGGGTCTTCATTCACAGGGGATCCTACTATTTGGGGTCTAGAATAGGGGTCCCTGAGTATCGAAAACCCCCATTTAGTAGAATAATAACGTTTAACTTCGCCAATCGTTGACTCTTTTGGGGTTTCCCTACTTCATAGGAACAAAAAAGTTTAACCTATTTTTTCCTTGGCTCGTGGAGAAGTAAGTATAGGGTGTGGGGGAATGTTCGGCTCGGCAATCTTCCAGCACCACGGTGAACTCTAGGGCCTCTAGGGTTTTTATTTCCACCCATGATAAAGGCTTGAGGGTCTACCCCTAAACCCTAAACCCTAAAGCCACCCTAAGCCCACTGAGGGGTTTAGGCTTGGAAGGCCCTGTTGCAAAAGGGGTTGGGGTTCGAAGTCGAGAGTGGTGCCACTTTTTTTTGGGCTTCTGGCGTCCCATATATATATATATATATATTTATATACATATATACATATATATATATATGTGTGTGTGTGTATGTTGTGTTGTGTTATGTTATGTTATGTTATGTTGCGTTATGTAATGCAAGTGAGCAAGCAAGTAAGAAAGTAAGCAGGTCTGTAGGTAAGTCTGTATTTATCTTCTGTTATGATTCTTGCTATGATGGTTGGCCATGTGGGACTCAACGGCGGCTGACTTCGGCCTAGCTGTTTCGGGCTTAGGTAAGTTATGCAGTAGCATTTAGTATTTTCGGGTTTAGGGTCCAGGGTGTAGTGTTTCATGTATGCTTGGGAGAACTGAGCGTTCGGGACCACAGGTTTGTGCATCTTGGCAGTCAACCTCATCAAGCCCCAAATAGTTGACAACACATGTGCCGGGCTGCGGATTGCAAGGGCCATAGCGAGGCCGGGTATATGCGGGACTCTCCAGTCGATGGGCATGCTTGGGCATCAGGCTCCCTAGTTTAGAGAACCCCCCCCCCCCAAAGAGTGTGGAACCGGAACAAAGCAAGGATTATGGCTTCGGCCACTTCCTCATGTGCTTCGACAGCATCAAGGGCTTCACCAAGGAGTGTGAAGAGGTGGGATTTGCCATCGCCCAGGACTTACTTGAAGGTTCATGGTACTTACTAACCACTTATAACTGTACTTATAACCCTACTTATAATACCCCTCAGTTATAATTTAGTTAGTAAAGTACCATGAACCTCCAAGTAGACATTGGCTCACTTAGCCAATCGTTGAACTTTCAGCTTTTGGGGCTTCCTTATTTCTTAGGAAGAACAAAGTTAAACTTCTTAGCTAGCAGTTGAACTTTTTTTCTTTTTGGCCTTTCTTGTTTAGTAGGAAGCACCAAAGTTAAACTTTCCCCCTGGTTTTTGGAGAAGCAACTCTAAACCCTAAACCCTAAACCCTTTGTGACCACAGCTCCGGTGCGTTGTCAACAGTAGCATCAGCAAAAGGCAGCACTTGGGATGATCCCCTTCTACAAACAGTCCGTCTTGGTAGCCCACTGGTGCCCTTTACCCTTTCTTGGTTTCTGGGTTCCCTTGTAAAGTAACCAACACAAAAAAAGGGACCCTTATTGTGAGATGGTTACTGGGCTACCAGGCCGTAATAGGGATTATAGTACCTGTATGATAATCCCCAAGAAGGACTCTTACTATAAGGGGCAACATCCCAAGGCAACACCCTCAAGTTGTTGAACCTTCCCTCACCGAATGCGGACTCCGGGAACGGAGTGTCAGAACTTGAGCAGTTCTCTCAATGAGGTTCCCCCTTTCTTGGGCCCTACATAGTCGGGCACCTTATATATAAAAGGGATCTCTAAACAGGACCCTACGTTAGAGAGCCACCTACCGAGAACGAAGGCACAGCAGCGAGTGGCTTGCAGTAAGAAACGGCTCAGGGCACCTGAGCTAGGACCGCCAAACCCCGAACCGGCCGAGCAAAAACACGAAACCAGAACCCCAAGCCTTACTTCGCCGTTAGCTGAACTTTGTAACTTTTTGGGTTTCCTTACTTAGTAGGAATATTGAAGTCTCACCCTTTTTAGTTGGTTATTTGGGCAGTAAGAATCCTTGAACTCTATAAACCCTAAATCCCCAATCCTTGAACCCTAAACCCCAAATCTTGAACCCTAAACCCTCAACGCAAAACCTTGAACAACCAACCCCCAAACCTTGAACCCTAAACCCTAAACCCCAACCAAACTCCAAGCCCTAAACCCCACACCCCAAGCAAACTCCAAACCCTAAACCCTAAGTTCTGGAAGCCTATGGCCTGGGTCAGGCGCAGTGCCACATGGACCCAGGCGCTCTCTTCCGGGCAGTGGGGGGGGGGGGGGGGGGGGGTTTGTGCTTGTTGTTAAGGTGGCTGTACCTTTCTTGCCTTGTGGCAACGTTTAGGATTTAAGGTTTAGGGTTCAGGTTTACGCAGAGACCTGGATGGAAAAAAGGGTTTAGGGTTTGGGGTTTAGGGTTTGGGGGGGTCTGCCATGGGGCCGGGATGGAACCAGGGGGGCTTTCAGCACCAAGATGCCAGGAGCGTTCGGCTTCATCCCGCTCTATGACCGGAAGAACAACTACTACATGCAGGCTTTTTTTTCTCTTAAGAAAAGGGCTTGCTTCGCCTTTTTGGGTTTCCTTATTTAGTAGGAATACTAAAGTTTAGCCATTTTTCCCCTTGGTCTACTACATGCAGGCTTTTTTCGCTCTTAAGACAAAGGGTTTTAGGGTTCAGGGCTTCGGGTGTTTTAACATAGGTTGCTTTGAAATAGTTTTATCTTGTAGTACCCCCCCCTAATCCTTATATATATATATGTGCATGTATATATATATGTATATATACACACATATATATATAATTATAATCGTTATAAAGCCGCAAAATTCAAGTTTATCCCCCTACCCTAGTTGAAGGGTTTCGGGCTTGGGGTTTAGGCGGAAGCCTTCTGACATAGAAGCGCAGGATTGGCGATACGGGCATAGCCTGTAATCCGAGGACGCCAATGTCTGATAGCGTCATCCCTTTTTTAAAGCGTTTAGGGTTTAGGGAGTAGGGGTATTTCCCAAAATAGAGGTACCTCGTTTATACCCAAATAGAATGGAACCCCCGTAAAAGGGACCCCCAAAAAGGGTACCCCCCCCCCCCCCCCATTTTCGGAAACCCTCCATATGGGGTTTGGGCTTAGGAATATCGGGTTTAGGGTTGGGATGTTCCCCCATGTACGATTCTTGTTCCCCTCTTCTCATCCCCACTAAGGACTGTCAGCATAAGGGGGAACATCCCAAGTTTAGGGTTTAGGGTTTAGGGTTTAGGGTTTAGTAGTTTAGGGTTTAGGGTTTCTCCATGTTGCAGGTGGTGGCCGCCGAGATCCCTCCAACTGGCTACTACCCTCTCAGCGGCATCCCAGAGTACCTGGCACCTTCGTCCTAGTTTGAGAGCCTAAACCCTAAACCCTAAACCCTAAACCCTAAACCCTAAACCCTAAACCCTAAACCCTAAACCCTAAACCCTAAACCCTAAACCTTCGTCCTGGTATGAAGCGTGGTTCTTCCTTCAATTTGGGTCTCAGGGTCCTTTTCTACAAGGGAATCCGGCAATTGAAGAACTCCTAAGGTGCTTTCGTTGAAGGCTCAGGGTGTCTTGGGTTTGGGTTTAAGGGTTTAGGGTTTAGGGTTAGGGTTTAGGGTTTAGGGTTTAGGGGTTTCGGGTTTATCGAGTTGGGTGTTCAGGGCCTAGGACTCACGAGTCAGCAGCTTGCCCTGGCACGCCTCAAACAGGCCCGGGGTTTGACAAACGAGATTTATAGGATTTTGGGACATCACATTGTTTTACATCATTGATATTGTTGCATTATAAGGTTTTTTTGCAACAACACTTCTTTTATAATTAATACTGCTGTTATTACTGTCTGTTATTCTATGGTTATGTTATCATTAATAAGTCCGCGGCGGAAGTGCTTGCAGGCTGTCGCCATCAAGCCGCACATCGACGCCATCATGACGCAGACTGTCTCGGCCAATCCCATGGAGCTTCCGTCTGAGTAGCATGGGTAGGGTTTTAACATGGGTTTAGGGTTTTAGGGCTTTAGGGTTGATGGTGTAGAGTTTTGGGTTGAGGGCTTGGTGTAGGGTTGATGGTTTCGGGTTTTAGGGTTTTAGGCCCCAGATTCTGGAAAAATAAAGCTTCGGCTTCTTTAAAGCTTTTACTTTTAAGCCAAAAATAGGAGCCCGAGAGTTTTTTGAACCCCGCCATTTTTTCTTTAAATGTGGGGGGTTATCCCCATACGAAATCCACCCTAATGGAAAGTAGTCTTCCAGCGGGCTTCCGGACAAAACAAAGTCTTTAAATATGGGGGGTATTGATTAAACAGGTGCTCGGGTTAATTCATTTGATACGAAGCTGTAGGCTGAAAGAGCCTCCCCTTCGCTCTGTAGAAGAAGAGCACACTCACCCCCTAAACCCGGCTGTCACAGTTAGCAGGAAGCCGCGCTACGCTGATTGAGACCTTGATTTTGCTTGCGACATGAGGAGCAGTTGAGCCACAACCCGCAGTTTCTTTCCCTGAGCCTGGCCGATGTCAACTATTGCCTGAATCTTGGCTCATGAATTTGCCCTAAGTCTCCCTAAACCCTGAACCCTGAACCCTTAACCCTAAACCCTAGACCCTGAACCCTGAACCTCCTTACTTGCGGTTTCAGGGCCACGCTTGCGATTCGGAGTCTCGGAGTCTTAGGAGTTACAAAGGTCAATACCCAGACAAGGCTGGGTAGGGGAGTTGGAGTTTAGAGATGAGAGGTCCTTGGCTGCGTGTAATGAGCTAGGGTTTAGGGTTTAGGGTTTAGGGTTTAGGGTTTAGGGTTGGAGCATGGTTTCCCCTGTGTTCAGGAAGGGGAGGAAGCGGAGAGGGGGGGGGACGGGGAGTGAGAGGGGAGGGCGAGGGGGAGGGGTTGCAGGATCCACCTCTGCTGCCTAGGAAGCCAGAGGAAGTAACTTCCTCTAGACCAAACGCCATGAAATGAAGCACCCTCAATCTGAATTCCGGACGTTCACTTATCTCCAGGCCCAGAAAGCAGAGAAGGCTACCCTTGAAATCTCTAGGTTGCTTGGAACTTAGCCCACTAAATCTCCGACCCCACGCAAACCTCCTTTGTGATAGACATGCCCAAATTTGGTTGAAATCCTGATCCCGAAGCATCAAACCCCTATCCCCTAAACCCCAAACCCTAAGCCCTAAACCCTAAACACTATTGATCTGAGGAACTGCAAGCTACACCCGTCCAGCTGCGCTTGAGCCTATGCAGCTCCTCAGGGCCCCCTGTTCCCTCGCACGGCGGGGTTTAGGGTTTAGGGTTTAGGGTTTAGGGTTTAGGGTTTAAGGTGTTCAGTATTCTTTTGTTGCTGCAGGTTGCAGAAAACCTTGAGTAGACAATATGAGACAGTTCGTTCAAGTAAATTTCTAGTTCCTACATGGGGTGAGTGTGCGGGAGATGAACAGTAAAGCTAGCAGGGAGGGAGAGTGTTTAGGTTCACTGCAGGGCTTAGGGTTAGGGAATATTTTGCGCTAGGCTTGGAGGTTGGGTGAGTGAGAGCCTGCGAGCACACAAGTACCATGAGGTAAAGAGTTGGGTTTTAGGTTTAGGGTTTAGGGTTTAGGTTGGGCAATGATGCTGAAGATCTTTGTTGCTGAGGAGATAACTTGGCTTTTCCGCTTGGGGGTCTAGGCTAGCAGCAGTTTTGTGGCAAGGTCTGTCTCGAGGCAACAATCATGCCAGTTTTAATAGCTGACCCCCCCTCTCTTCCCCAATCACTTTGAAGAGACGCGGTTCAGTTTAGAGGGCGCCGGGGCCTACCCAGAGGTGCTTGACCTTTGAAGTTGGAGTTCGCGAAGGGGCCACGACACACTGCAAGCAATCTTACCGCCCTCCCCAATTTCTTGATTCGAGATCGATAACGAAGCAGCCTGATGCCAGTCCATGTTGAAATGCCTTTTGGGGTCGTGGCTTCAATGGTGCCTGGCTCTAGCCAACAGAGTGCAGTGCCACAGGCCAAGTAGCCATCATTCCTTTTCGCGTCGTGGCACAAGCCCGCTATACTGGCCACGACTGCCTCTGGGGATAAAACAGCTTGGGCCAGCCGGCTTCTTTGGGTTTTAAACCCTACAACGGCTTGAGGTTCCAGGTAAAGATAAGGGACCGTGCCCATAGTATGAAGGAGCGTATATGCCACGGGCAGAGTGACAAGACATTGAATAAGCTCCCCTAGGGGGGCCCATGTACCTTTGTAGTATACGCGTACTTGGGCCTTATGAAGAGAACCGACATAGTGGCTTTAGGGCCCAAGTGTATACTATCCAGGTACATGGACCCTTAGGGCTCGTCACTATACGCTACTGGCACTGAGAGGACAGGTGGTTTCATTATAGGCCCCCTTGCCCCGAAGTCCTCAAAACCCAAGCATAAACGGCCCTGGGGAGGTATCCCAGCCTCGCACCGAACACTCCCGAAGAGTCCATAGTAGATCTGTGCACAAGTCCATAACCTCTGGAAACCCATCACCCTAAACCCTGAATGGGCTTTTCGGCTTTGAGCTGCAAAAAGTGTTTCGAACGCCAGGGCGAGAGAGAGAGAGAGAGAGAGAGAGAAAAGAAACAAAACAAAAAAGAGAGATGGTTTAGGGCATAGGGCTTAGGGCCAGTAACAGGGTTTAAGGCGGGCTGCTGCACAACAAGCGCTTTGAATGTTGAAGGTTTGCCGCTGCAGGCATGCGATCTGATCTTGTCAAACAGAATTCGAAGGGTCGCCACCATCGCGCTCCGTGTAGGATGCCCTCGGTTTAGGGTTTAGGGTTTAGGGTTTAGGGTTCAGGGTTTAGGGTTTAGGGTTTAGGGTTCCGCCCACGCCTAAAGAAGCCTTGCATAGTTGCGACGAAGGCCTCTTCTTTGAGTGCTCCCGAAATCAGGGCCGGCATGACCCCGGCGCATTTTTTTAGACAAACCTGTTTAGGGTTTAGGGCTTAGGGTTTAGGGTCCTTCAGCACAACCGCTCTGCGCAAACCCTCAACCCTAAACCTCCCGTGTGTTGCACCCCTGGCCCAAGAAACCCCTTACAACTCTCCTCCACGTGGGTAGTTCTCTAAAATTGCGTCCCTTTTTGCGACCTTATCATAAGTATTATCTCTAGGACTCTAGGACCCACAACAGGACCCCAATCTAGAGAACTACCCCCATGAGCCACAGCACAATTTGAACGACTGCGCAGGCTGCGGGAGGAGGAGGAGGAGGTGGAGGGGGAGGAGGTGGTGGAGGTGCCCTGTTGTGGGGAGAGGGATGTGCCGATGACTTCAAAGGTCGTGCTTGGAACGGACTTGTTCAAAAGTGTACCTTTTGAGTTTGGTAAGGGGGACTAGCGTGCTTTACCGAAGAAGCCTCTCCCAGTAGGGTAGAGGAGTCTTAGCTGACCCTGAATGAACCCTTAGGCATCACATGCTGTTTCCGGTGGTGAGTGTGGAAACGGAGTGCGCCAGTTGGGGTCCTGAATGGTCCTGACATGTCTTGATGTTATGAAGACGAAGGAGCTCCCTGCTCAGGGCATGTATAATTGGCAGAACTGGTCCGATGCACAGGGTAATTATTGCCAGGAATGCGCACATGTCCCCTTCGACGCCCATAGTCACCCTAAAAACCCCCAAACCCTATACAGCCTACAACCCTGCTCTGAGCCCAATCGCCCTAAACGCCTAGAAGATGGCACAGTGCCCTGTCTTTCCAGATCGGGATCGGGATCGCGACCGTGATCGGGATCGAGATCGTGACCGGGGAGACCGTGACCGGGGAGACCGTGACCGCGATCGGGATCGCCGTCGCTGAATGTGTGGGGCTCATCTTTGCCTTAGGTTTTAGGGTTTAGGGTTTAGGGTTTCCAGTTTGCAAGCAGGGCCCTTCATGATCGTTGCAAGCTAGACCGAGGGCTGCCAAAGGGCCACCGTTTCAAGTTTCGATCCTTGTTCATACCGGTGATGTACAACGTACCCTAAACCCTAAACCCTGACCCTAAACCCTAAACCCTAAACCCTAAACCCTAAACCCTAAACCCTAAACATCAATCTAGCAATGTGCACTCCTGCATCTGCGACCCTTCCCCTGAGGTTGGATGCCAGTGATGCCAGATAGACGTCAGTGAGCTCGAGCAACGCTGCTGGGAATTTCATCTTCTAGAAAACCATGCTACCAGGACCCCGAGAGCTACAATGCTCCTGCAACCTAAACCATAAACCCTAAACCCTAAACCCTAACCCAGAAAGATGCGCAGAGTTGCCAAGAAGGGCAGTTCTTCACTGCAGTTCATGATCCGGCAGGGCTGGCCTGGAGGGCAAGCACACAAGTTTCCTGAAGCTACCCTAAACCCGAAGCCCCAAACCCAAAACCCTAAGCC